TGTCCAATTGTTTTGAGGTCACTGTCCAGCTCCTCACCTCCGAACTTTACTTTGATGTCGATTCCTTCATATATCTCTTGTTTCTTGCTTTCAGGAATGTTGACTTTCCATAATTTCAGATAGTTTGCGTCAGTATTGCAAAAGGCCACACTTTTCTTCTCCTTGATGGCTCCCTTGAGATGTCCTATGGTCTTGCCTGTATCGAAATCGACAGGAAATGCGTTCTTTTCGCCTAAAACAATACAACCTAACATAATTTCGGTATATCTGTAATTGCGAAAATCGAGAGTTAAAATAAAAATAAGGCTCAAAAAATTAATTTTCAGTAATATAAAATAAAGACCTTTTTGGATTTAACGCTGGACTGGCAGGTAGGGAATTTTCCTCGAATTTAGTTTGTACCCGGAACGGCGAAAGTACTCGAGATAGCGAAGAATAGCTTGACATTTTGATTATATGTCATATATATATATATTTTCATAAACGGTTGTTGACTAATTACTACGAACTGTGAGTCAGTAATATTACGAACAGAGTCAGCAATGTGTCAAGGACCAAATACAAAATCGAAAAAAATTAAAAAAATTTATCAATCAAAAATCAGCCACATGTCATGATGTCACATGAGAGTGCCAATCAAAATAATTCCCAGTTGGGAAGACATTACGCAAACAAAGATACTGTATGTTATGACTGTACATTTACAAGGAAGTGACTCAGAGCTTACAAAGCTAATATCTATTTTTTTTGTTAGGGGAACATAAACTTTTGGTGAGTTCTACTAAGGTCAATACTGTTAATTTATTTCTGGCTCTGCATAACTGATGACCATTTTTGTTCTATCTAGAATATCGATGTTAAGGACAAATGAAATCGGATTAATGTTGGGATATTATATTAGTATAGATAGTTTGGATGATGGTGTGGGTCTGTAGGCATTAGTATAGAAATGCCTACCATTTCACATTGTAAAAAAAGTCTATGTATTATCAAATCATGTAATTTATTTACTGTATCAATAAAGAATTCAAGCTGAAAATGTTATACATTGTATTAAGTATATTTTTCATGGGATATAGAGATGTATTAGTAAATAAAAAAAGGTGAGACCTAAAGTCCCACTTAGGTAAAAATGCATTTTAAATAATTGTGTTCTATATGAAAGTTATTATCAAATATGCAATCTAAATTTGATTTATTAAAAAAACGCGTCATCAAGCTTCTAGTTGAGAATGCTGAGATTAAGGCTGAAAATGCCAAGGTTAAAGTTAAAAATGCTAAACTAAAGCAGGCTATGAAGGAGAATGAAGCCAGACTTGCAAAATTAGAGCAGAGTGATAAAGAAAAGGCTAAACTCATTGCAGAACTCAATTGTAATGTTAGAAAAATCAAGCAGGAGCAAGTTATTGTTAATGTTGCAACACAGCCTAGTACATCTAATAAATCGTTAGAGAATAGGAAGACTGATGAATTCTTAGTCTCAGTGAGTAAGAAAAAGGTAAATGATATGATGAGACAGAGAAACAGGGAGAAGAAGTTTTTGCATAAGTCAGCACTTTCATGCTGAAATCAGAACAAGCATTCAACTTCTCAAAATACTTCTAATATATCCCTTGAAGACCCCAATGATTTTGTAGAAACTGAAGCTAACAAAGCAATTCACAATCATTGGGAGAAACGATACCAGAAGTAACATTTCAAATACTACCCAAAGAAACTAAAATTTTTCACGATTATATAATAGCCTAAGATTTTATACAAGATGTGACTTCGAAGTTGATAGATGAAGATGATATCCAAGTTATTATGGGAATCAGAAGCTTACAACTAACATGACAATAGAAGTTGAGCTTGTTCATTTATTTCTAAAAGTAAGTATTGAAGGAAAGAACACTACGTAGACTAAACAAAAAGAGATTTTATGTTGCCAACCAATTTGATATACTATTAAACAAGTCAAATTTTAAATGTACTTTTACTAAACACAATAGCCTTTAGTCATTTATTATCAAAGCTCTTTGTTACCAAAATTTTTGCTTAAGATAGAATTAATCAAAGATTATTGTTAGGGTTGCCCATGAAAATAGTTGAAGATCGAACAAGTCACATGATATAGTACGCAGAAATCCTATGATTATGGCTAAGTTTATTACAATATGAAACATTACTTATAATATAATTTAGTTTTATTAGTTATTTACATTAATTAACCACTTTTAGTATTATTAGTACTTTTGACTCATGAGTATTCAATTATAAGTATCAGTTTAATTATTATAACCTTAGAAAATTGCTTTATTAGTTTAGCTAGAGAAGTTTCTTGAACTTTACATAGTTGATGAATCATATAGACACATAGAACTTATACGAAATATCAATAGGAAGGTTTCTACAGATAATTGCAATGAAAAAAGGACAATTGATTGATTAATCATATTAGTATAATAGGATAATATTGATAAGTTTAAACTGTCATGTGTGCAAATGTAAACATATATAGAGCAATATTTTCTTTTGAATAAAGGTTGTTAACACCTGGGTAATCTAACAGTGAGTTTAGATTGTATTATCTGAAGTATTGTGTTTTTGTATGATTTGTTGTTAGTTTTTCTTTGTAATAAACTTTTTGCGTGTTTTATTTGTTTTACCTTTGTGTTTGTTATTATTTGTTTGATAGATTTCTATCTTAAGAAACTCTTACATTGTTTACCATCATTATTAATTTTCTACTGAGAATTATTAGTAATACTCTTATATTTGATCACAATATTATCAAAAAACTTATCATTTTATTACTTGGCCTTTTTGTCACGACTGTTCACTTTAACATCTCTGACATTAGTTATCACTTCAGACCAAATCGGTGATAACATCTTCATAATCAACTACTTATAACCATGTGTTTAAAGCAAAGAAAACCTACTCTATATATCAACCTTAAATGCTAATTTTATTTTATATATGAAAAAACCACACATCATTTATCAACTTGTACACAAATAGTGGATTTTAGAACTTATTTTAGATCTGAACTTATTTATTTCCTTAATAACACTAATGAATTTCAAAAACTACCTCCTCATATTAGATTATGCATCATATACTTATTTCTTGGCATTTCACTGGACTTATTTGAATATACTAGCTTACTTTCTAACACCATGCAGGGAAAGATCAATATAGCAGCAATCTCCCACTTGAAGAAAAATCTTAAACTATCACAAGCTGATAGTGTAAATTAGAATTTAAAATTCTAATGCAAACCATTATTTTTTTCAAAAACTATTTATGAAAAGACAGATGTAAATGTATTATCAAATGGAAATAATTGTGTAATATTACAGTTCAAGACAAACATTTTCTTAATCATAATTGAAACTTTAAGACCTGCTGTACTAACAGATTTGTAATCACAGAGGATGAAATTATTGTTTTAGATGGCCTTAATTTTACTACACAAATGATATATACTCCAATTCACATTTTTCCTTAATAATATTTTCAAGACTCTTTAGTCCTAATGCACTTTCATCTTCAATTGTATATCAAAAAGTACATTTTATTGCCTTGAATTTATAAACCTTTATCATCACTTTATTATTTTAATATAGGAATTTGATTTGGGTAATGATTAATTGATTTAATATAATATTTATATGATTATTTATTTTATGTTAGAATTTTTGGTAGTTTTACTTTTATTATTATTATTATTTTAAATTATTTAATTTTATTGATTTTATTTTATGATTGTATTGTATATAGCTTATAACTTATTGGAAACATTTATTGTAAAAAAAAAAAAAAAAGTATTAAAAAATATTTAAATCTATTAAATGTTACAGAAAATATATTACATATATGGAATATTAGTCTGTTCTAGATTAATATAAAAATATTAAATTATGATTCTATTTATGCAATATGAGTCATATTTATTTAATAAAATACTTTTTTATTATATACAGTTCAGAGCACAAAATCTATTGAAATTTTGCCAGATTTTCCGATTAGTTTTCAATAAATCTGGTAAAATTATTTAAACTCAGAATTTTTTCGGACGTAACACAACAGATTTCCAGTAAATTTTGACAATGCCGGAAATTTTATTTATATTTTTTTAACTTCTAAGCCAAATAATTAAAGCAATAAAAAACAGCAAAATTTAAAGTTTCATGACAATGTACTATACCGAAAAATATTTATTACTAAAGAAAAAAAGTTTAGACATACTGTTGTCACTATAAGTGGGTACATTAAACAAATTTTATGGTGAATTGTTAACAACAATCTATTACTCTTTTATTCATTATTTGGTTAATAGAAACTATGAATTATTTCTCAACGCCAATATGTCTCTTTGATTACTCCAAATGGTATATGCACGATTATAGTTAAATTTTGAACTCTCCAGCCCTTCTAAAGAGATACACATCAACCTGTCTAAGGTATCTGTTGTCAAGAAGTTTCTGCTTTTAGTTTTAATTTGATTTTGTCTACTAAAACCACATTCACATTCTACACTTGAAAAGGGAATACAATATACCAATTGAATTAATTTGATGATATTTGGAAATGTATCATTATAATCTTGAATTAATAGAGGAAGAATTATATCTATATCTTTAGAAGAAAGATTATTGCTAACGACTAATTTAAATCCCGCCCATTCTTGCCTACATTTATTAACATCAAAGAGTGGTGAGCTTTGAACATACATTATCATGAATATTCAGATGTTCATAATACTCTAATAAATTTTCTAATTCATCATCTCCAAAAAATAGTAAATCTTGAGAGTTTTTTGGCCATTCTTGTGGATTTAATATTTTCATAGAAGTAAATAACGATCTATTAGGGAATCGTTGTTGCAATTCAGAAAGAATACTTGTTGAATAGCTATATACGTCCATTAAGAATTCATCATAATCTTGCTCAGTAAAGGAAAGGTTATGACCCATGTATTCAACTGAATTATTTCCAAATGGATTAGTTTCATCGATAAATCTTTGAACATTATATCCGAATTTTTGTGACTGATCTTCCATTAAATACTCTTTTTGAATAGAATTAATCATGGCTTGTATCATTAAATCTATATCGGAAAATCTTAAATTTCATTTTTGGAAAAACTTACTCAACTGTGTTATATGTTCTAAAATATCATAAAAAAAGTATAAAAATGCCAACATTCTCCATGACGTTAATTTAATATATAATTCATGCCACTGGTTAAAATCAAAAAAATCGGACATATGGAAAATCAGCTAAAAATCAGACCAAAATCGACTGACATTACAAATTGGCACATCTGATTGATGCCAATTGGACAATTTAATGAAAATCCAGAAAAAAATCATCATATTTGATTGATGGCTGATTGATGCTAGTTGAAATCAAAAAAAAATC